CTACTATAATTATCGATGTTTCAAGCACAAAGTGCACCAAGCTGCCAAGGCCATGTAGAGGCTAAGCGCAAGGCATGAGCCTGAGCAAAGCAAGCATACATCATATATTGCAATGAAATCACATAATCACGTCATAATTATATAGTGAAAAGCAATATGCACCACAAGAACCAAGACCATATAAAGGATATAGCTGCATTATATAACAAGTATGTCCAAAAAAAATTCCACGTTTCAAAAAAATGTATAATACGAAAATTTAACAAAAAATATCCATGCTTCAAATATTTAACACATCATTTATAAGTCATACAAATCATGCATACCAAAATAAAAGGAAAAAACCGAGATCATCGTGGCCAGGATAATGTTTCATGTTTAGGTTTTCAAGCATGACTATCATTAGAAATCTCCGTACAGAGAAAAAGAGGATAATACTAGGACAGCTGCGCTGTTCGAAGCAACTTAAAAAGAGTAGTCATACGCATATCACAACACACTCGAAGGAACCAGAGTGAACCAAAAAACTAGGAATACATGGCTCAAAAATGCATAAACCTTACTTCCTTAGGTCCTCTGCACATTCTTAACACATCAAATTTTCAATTAAATCGATAGAACAGGCTATGAAAACCCTAAAACTAAATTTGACGTTAATCGGCAAATGGAAGTGGAAATCAATCACGCGTCAAGTTAGCTCATCACTTTCTTTAACATATTCATTTAAAAAATAAAGACGGCACATATACTCACGCATTCGCAGAGGAGCTGAAGCTCGTCTTCGGACAAGTGTTGACCCTCTTTCACCTTAGCTATCCACTGGTCCAAATCCATTTTTACTACTATTCAATTAACAACTTCAGTATACTCTTATACATATAGCAATATAGAAAAATAGAGGAGGAGGAGTGGATTTGGGTATTGTATTTGTATCTGAATCGAAAAGTCTTGCAGAATTTTCAAACCCTCCACTACTCTTTTTTCCTTTAAAATAATTTTCAATTTTGTTTAGGACGTTTGTTTTTCTTGAAAATAAATTGCGTAAAAAATAAAAATTGACTTTTTGTTAAAAAAAAAATAGGGAAAATTGCAGCTACGGTACCAAACCTTTTCAATTTTCGCAGACTTCGCTCAAATCTTTGTTTTGTGCCTCCGGAGTTACCAACATTTCAAAAATATGCACCATAGATCCAAATAGACGGTTTCCATCCAGTTGACCAAGAATAATAGATTTTGACAAATCTTGACAAAATTAGGAGGGGTCAAATGGTAACTTGACAATTTTCTCATTAAATAAATTTAAAAAAAAAACAAAAACAAAATAAAACATAAATATACAAACAATCAGTTTCTCCTTCAGAGCATCAACAGTGCGACACGTTGTCGGCACCACCGCCTTCTCCCACCACCACTGAGTATCGAATTTTTTGCATAGCGCCTCCTGAACTTCACCCATAACTTCATTGGTTTTTGGTTGCAATTGAGCTTAACTCATGGGTGGGCTGGGTGCGCCAGAGGGAAATGAAGGTTGCCTAGGTGGTCCGCGACCATTGGTTGGCCGGACGGATTTGGAATCTCCATTTTTCAGACCCAGCTGTTCGACAATCACGAGTGGGCAGTATTCTAGGATAAATTCGTTCAGTTGGAGGGATGTTTAGGATAAATTGGGACCTTGGCTAGGGTCGTCTGGTCATGGGCAAACGAGGGTGTAGGTCGTCTGAGCATGGGAATGGTTGGATTGTAAGATTCCAGCAGATTTGCGATTTTCAGGCAGCGATTTTTGGGAATTAATTTCTTCCAAATCCGTGGTTGTTATGGGTGGATGTTGGGATGTCATTGATGAGGGCGTTAAAGGCTTTCCACCGGTATCAATATCCGATGGTTTTGGAGGCCTAAAGTTGCCGGAAAATGAAGGGTTGTTTTTTAGGGATATGGTGGGCTGGGCTGGGCTGGGTGGGGTTTGGGAAGAAGGTGAATAGTGTAACTTTTTTTTATTTTCCTTTTTTTATGTTAAAATTATGAAGTTACCATTTTATCATTTGTTGATGTGATCAAAAGAATTTTTTGGAGTCAACTAAAGGTAAACTGGACGGAAACCGTCCATTTGGACCTCCGGTACATATTTTTGAAACGTTTGGTACCTTCGGTGACACAAAACAAAAATTTGGGCAAAGTTTGCGAAAATTGGAAAGGTTTGGTACCGTGACTACAATTTTCCCTAAAAAATATTCAAAAGTTAGTCCCGTCTCGCGCTCATTAAAATTATAATCCATTTTTATCAATCACGTATATTTTAATAAAATAATATTACAAATAAATTAAAAAAAAAATTTCTTTTTTAATCACATATTCTAAAAAAACTCCTATTTTAAAAATTATAATCTCAAATAATTGAGGCCAAACGGGCCTTAAGATCCTGTAAAAAATTATTTGATTGAAAATTTAAAAAAATGAGTTTTAGCCTCAGAAGTCACAATATTTGATATATTGCGACGACCTTTCTAAATGAGCATAATTCACTTATTATTTAATAGTTTTTAGGTTTAAAATGGATGAGTTTACCCTTAATTTAAAAAACAAGTTAAAGTGTGATTATTAATTAAGGATTAATCTAAATGTACACAATCCATTATCTAATGGATTACACCTCCCTCACATGGAGGGCGGCCTACACACAATAAAATATTTGGGAGCTCCCTTCCATGTGAGGGGGTGTAACTCATTAGGTAATGGAATAGGTAGTACAACTCATTAATTAAAGGAAGAAAAATGAAAAACAAAATTTATCTTCTTTAACAACCGATCTACCATACTTGCCTCATGTTTGATCCACATTCCTGCGAAAATTCATTTTTTTAAAACTCATTTTCAACCACATATTTTTCATTCAAATGATATTATACGCAAATTCAAAATTTTTTGTTATTTTTTAATCACATATTTTCCATAAAATTACTATTTAAAATACGTTATTCACTCGATAATGTGCATCAAACAGGGTCTTGATCGTTTTACGCCATTAATAACACATATTTTGTCCAGTTTATATGCATGAGAAAAGTAGGCCATATTCTAATTCATGTGTTCCAATTTATAAATAGAACCAATGGGAGCAAAATGAAAAATTATGGGAATCGTGAGGATTTGTTCGGCTCAACTTATTTGAATTTTTTTTAAAATTTATTTTTAATAACTAATTTTTTTAATAAATTAACATTTTACGTGGATATATAACTTTTCTCTACATTCTAATATTACATAAACCTTGTTCGAGACCCATTATTTAGAGGAAATGCGTTTTTGAAGAGTGGATTTTTAGAAATATGTGATTAAAAAATAGAAGAAAATTTTGGATTTGCGAGTAAAATTATTTGTTGGGAGAATGCGTTGTTGAAAATAAATTTTGAAAAAAAATGAGGTCAATAAGGAGCATATTCTTCATAAATATTTTTTACTTCATTTAATCTCTCCCAAACAAATATTAAGGGTATGTTTGAGCCTCATTATTTTTAAAGAATCTATTTTGGAATAGTGGATTGATGAAGAAACGTGTTCTTAAAAAAGAAAGAATTTTTTTTTATTTGCGTGTAATATTATTTTAATGAAGAATGTATGATTGAAAAGAAGATAAAGAAATCTTAGTAATACGAGACGAGGAACAAGTTTTCCTTCGTTTTAGAGGCTGAGCAGGATTGTCAGTAGGTTTTGAGGCCTCAATGACTGGTTCAGTAGGAGGTGCGGATTGAACTATGGCCTTTGCAAAGAACAAAAATCATTAAACCAGAAGGGAGGAAGATAAAAGTGGAAACGGTTTTTGGACCCTACGTTGAGTAAGGGTTCCAAAAGTGATAGGTATGTGTTGTTTCTTGGCGATATTGGCCCTCGAATGCAAATACAGAAAAGAGCTTGACTGCAAGTTCCACCCGTCGAGCAGGGACGAAAGCATAAAGGGGGAGGTCATAAGAGTCTATACCGTAAATTCAATTTTGGACGGACAATCAAACATCTAAATAAACAGAAAGTCTAATTCTCGAGCTTTAAAAAAAATCTGTAGTCAAAGTAAATGCCTGTTATGCCGGGCAATTTAGTATTGAATCTTGAGAAGTGGGTATGCATATAAATAATTTAGGTCAAACTTTTGTTTTAACTTTTATACAACGAGAATCTCTTCAACTTGAAGCACACTCACCGGGTCTTGCGGACTTTGGATTTTACCCTTAGAAAAGCTACATTTTGTGACTATTAGGCTGCTAGTGATAGACGTTAAAGACTTCACAATGCTTCAAAATTGTAAATGCTACCATACCTTATCTTCTTCTATAAATTGAACCCTCGTCATAAATTCCTTAAACCTTTCAAATCATCTACCATTTTCTCGGCGTTGTTGGATTGAAGTGTCATCTTAAAAGGTACAAACCTTTATATGTGGAGTATTTAAGTTTTTATTCGGGGTGATGGTTCTTTTGACTTGTCATCATTGGAACAAAGAAAATAAATTCATTAAACCTCTCAAATCATCTACTATTTTCTCGGCGTCGTTGGATTGCAGTTTCATCTTAAAAGGTACAAACCTTTATGCGTGGAGTATTTGAGTTTTTATTCGGGGCGATGGTTCTTTCGACTTGTCATCATTGGAATAAAGAAAATAATTGGAAATGTGCAGGAGATGTAGAAAGAGGATCAGCTTCGTATTAAACAATATGGAGTCATATGGAGTAAAGATTTAACTAAAAAGATAGGAATCGCAACTAACAGAAAAGAATGCAAACATCCATTTTATAGTCAGAAACTGAAGTTGGAAGGTTTAGAAACTCTCTTGAAAAATAATAATATATTGACATAACTTCACATTCTAGACGTGGTATGACAGATCTTCAGAATTTTTCTGAGTCAACGAAGCATTTTTTGCCATTTACTCCGCTATTCAATTTGAGCTAATGGTTATGAAAGTCTACTTCCTCAATATTTTCTTGTTTTTCTCCAGATTTGGTGGATAGAAGATGGCAGAATTTCTTGTAAATTTCTGGCCTTTATTTGTCAGCAGCCTGTTGTTCATTGTTTTTCTTGTGAAATATAAAAAAAATGGTAGCGATACTCGAGAGAAGTGTAAGTTGCCTCCAGGAGGAAGAGGCTGGCCGATTGTTGGCGATAGTATCAGTTGGTACAATGCTGTTGCAAGTTCTCATCCGCCAAGTTTTGTCGAGAAACAGGTTGCAAGGTACGAAGCTCTTCTTTGTGGTCAGTTTTAGTCATAGGATTTACCAATGTAGAGAAACAAATATCCTTGAAAGAATTGAAATTTTGTCAACAGGTTCGGAAAAATATTCTCGTGCAGTCTGTTTGGTAAACGGGCAGTGGTATCAGCTGATCCGATGTTTAATCGATTTGTAATGCAAAATGAAGGCAAACTATTCCAGTCGTGCTATCCGAAATCTTTCAGAGACGTGGTGGGAAAAAATGGGGTGATCACTGCACAAGGGGAGCATCAAAGGAAGCTTCATTCTATTGCCTCCAATCTGATGCGGTTAGACAAGCTCAAGTCCCAATTCTTGCAGGATATACAAATAGTTATGCGACAAATCTTCAATAATTTGCGCGACAAACAAGTCATTCTACTGCAAGATGTCTGCAGAAAGGTAATACCGTATTCTGAGTTTTTTCATTGCTATTTGACCCCTGTATAGTATAGTTCTGCCTACTTCGATTCTAGTTCTTAGCGTTCAATCAGTATGTACAATAAAAAATTTATAATTTTCATTTACCTTCAGATAGCCATTAACTTGATGGTTAATCAACTGCTGGGCGTGTCGTCTGAATCCGAGGTGAATGAGATTACTCAGTTGTTCTCTGATTTCGTTGATGGTTGTCTTTCCGCTCCTATCAATTTGCCAGGATTCGCTTATCACACTGCAATGAAGGTGAGAACTTAATTTACCAATATCACTATACCAAATAACAGTTAAACTCATCAGACCATTTGAGATTCTGAATTGTACGGTTCCTAATTTAACATAACAGGCACGGGAAAGTATAATAAGCAAGATCAATAGTTCAATAAAGATCCATCGACAACAATCCTCTCCAGCAATTGGCAATGGTGTACTGAGAAGGCTACTAGAGGAAGAAAGCTTACCTGATGATGCTGTTGCAGACTTTATTATTAACCTCCTTTTTGCTGGCAACGAGACTACTGCTAAAACCATGCTTTTTGCTGTTTACTTCCTCACTCAATGCCCCAGAGCCATGAAGCAATTGCTGGTACAAACAGTTTTTCTTTTTGAATTTACATGTCTTTCTATTAAGATTACCGTAAAAAGTGTCGTCTTCTTTCACTAACATCCAGCCACTAAATTTTCATTTCTTCTGCACTTGAGAATAGGATGAGCAACAGAGTCTAAGGAGCCAAAGGAGTATCTTGGATGGAGAGATGCTTGAATGGCAAGATTACAAAGCTATGTCTTTTACTCAATGTGTACGTCATCTGCTCTCCTCGTCTCTCCAGCATAATTTGAGCCTCTTACTCTAAAGCATAAATTTTCTTATTTATGCATTGAACTGTTTAAGCAATGTTCAAACAATGATAATTGAAAAGGTGATACCATGATTCAAGAATTATCCAATACTCACGACCCTTTTTAAACTGAAGTCTAAACCTTCGACTAGCAGCTTGTTGCGACCTGCCCAGAATGAATGTCCTTTTATCTTACTTTCGTACGTATTTCACAAGTTGTGATAAAAATTTTACTTTATCCTCCAACAGGTAATAGATGAAACTCTTCGACTGGGAGGCATTGCAATTTGGTTGATGAGAGAAGCTAAAGAAGATATAGAATATCAAGGTAGATTATTATAGACCGCGTTTGGCTTTGCTTTTTTTATGGAAGAAGCCAGATTATTTCAACAGTTTTTTTTCATATACATTGTTTTGCAGATTATGTCATTCCCAAAGGATGCTTTATAGTTCCTTTTCTTTCGGCTGTCCATTTGAATGAAAATATATACGAGGATGCTCTCACTTTTAATCCTTGGAGATGGATGATTCCAGAAAATCAGGTTACACGTGGACTCAAGTCTCGTTGTTATTTATCTAAAATATTAAAAATAAAATTTAAATGAAAACACATAGTTACACTTGAACAACTTAATATTTTAGATGAGATGATTAACCTTGATAACACGTGAACGCAAATTTGTTTCACTTTCTCCGTGTTCTGAGGCATCTTTAATTTCTCCATCTTAAAGGAGAAGAGGAATTGGAGAAATAGTCCATTTTTTGCTCCATTCGGTGGAGGTGCACGATTTTGTCCGGGTGCTGAGCTGGCTCGACTTCAAATTGCGATGTTTCTTCACTATTTTGTCACTATGTATAGGTAATTCACATTTCAGCGTTAACTTTTGTCTTAGAACAATTAACGTTAGGCTCGTAAGAAAAATTCAAAAATAAGTTTCGATATTTCGTATTGATTTTGCGCGTCGACGAAAGGGTTAATCAAGGAGTATTGTTCAATTATTTTAGGTGGAAGCAGCTCAAGGATGACGAGATGTCTTTCTTTCCATCAGCTCGATTGGTGAATGGCTTCCAAATCCAGTTAAGCAAAATATTGGCCTGATCACATGAATGTGAAGTAAATTATTTGACAGCAATGTGTAATACGAAATTCTATGTCATTATTTCTCTCTTTCTTTGTCTCTTAAGTTGTTTTGAATTTGTGTACGAAAACAAAGTGTTTCCATGTAAAGATTGTGAGTGTTTTTGATTTTCTTACTAATTTCTATTTAAATCAGTATTTCAAAAAACATAAAATCGTGGCTAAATGACAAGCTCAAACTTCAAGTTTTCACAAGTTTAAGCGAGCCTATGCAAAGTAAAAAAAGCATAAAATATGACTAGATGGTAAAATCGACCTTCCTTCATAAATGAAGGTTAGACGAACTTTTTAGAATACTGATTTAAATTATGAAGTTATTTGTTTATCTAATTGAAGTTTATAACATGTAGCACAAACTCCAACCATTTCCATAAGAGCGTTTGCAACACCATATTACAGCGATTGACTTATCCAATCTGGTTTGTAGCACCTAGGGGTGTTCAATGGTAGTGGCTTAGCTCGATCCATCAAATATAAGTTAAGAGGAGGTAAAAAATTTATATTTGTCTCTCGTATTTTTAAATAAGAAAAACAAAAAAACAAAAGTGTAACTAAGGATAAAAACTGATTTCTGGACAAAAACAACCATCATGAATAATAAGTGCTAATTAATAAAATATTATCATGAGAACGTGATGATAAACAAATGAGATATGTGTGAAAATAAGTAAACTTTAACATTATTACTTTTTTTTCCCAATTTATCAAGAACAACTCATACTCTCTTTAAAAATAATGAACTTAAGGGGTAAGGAGTTGTTTGAGCAGCATCTTTTTTTTTTTTTCAAAAAATACATTTTGCAATAGTGTTAAAATGGAGAATGCGTGATTAAAAAATAAAGAAAGTTTTGAATTTGCGTGTAATATTATTTTGTTGAAAAATGTGTGGTTGAAATGTGGTCAAATCACTATAAAAAAATGTATTTTGATTGAAAAAATGGAGTTCAAACAACGGCTAACTTTAAATGGGGGTGAAAATCATATTTTTCGCACATGTCCTGTATTTGCTTAGGGACAACGACCACGTCACGTCCCTCCCAATTTGGGGGTAGGGCCAGTGAATATCGGGTTGAATGAATTTTTTGTCATCCCCAAGTAGACATAACTATCCACTAATAGTTAAAGGAAGGCCATCCCACTTGAGCTGCGGGCTTTAAAAGCTCGGCCCTATGTACGATTTTAGAGATATAAATGATAATTTCTTCTAGATGCTTCAACCTTTTGCGAGTGTAGCAATTACGTGTTTAATCTTTCATGACACTTATTTTTCAAATGGTTCAATCGTGGTATCTTCACTTAATAGAAAATAATGATTTAGTGCTTGTTTAATAAAAACTTACTAAAATTTTATCAACTTTTTAACTTATCAAACTTCAATTATAACTATAAATTTCATGATAATTAAAACTTTTATCAACTTCTAACCACACATTTAATCAATTTTATGAAAATTTGCTAAAACTTCTATCAAAAGTTTTTTCAAACAACCCATTAAATTTTAAATTTCTAGAAACACTCATACATGATGTGTCACTTAAGTAATAAGAGTTCAAAAAATTCGAAATGGAAGAACATTTGTCAAAAATCATGTACATATTGTATAACCATTTAGTGCCTTTTTGATTCCCATTAATTGAAAAAAAAAAAAGTTTTAAATAGTGTTTTTATGAAAATGCGAGATGAAAAATTAGGAAAAAATTTTGAAAGACTGTGTAGAATATTTTATTGTGTGAATGTAGAGTTGAAAACGTTCCAGTAAAAAAATATAAAATAAATTAATGAGAATCAAACATGCCCGTGATGTCTAAATACACGTTTTTGATAGATGGATACTTGCACGAACAATATTAATGTAAGTGCCACAAATGGAAGGTTGTGGGCATGACCACCACAATTTTGAAACGTGAAGGACCCTTGGAAGAATTTACCCGAAATAAAACATCTCCCGTTAGGGCTCATATATCCTCTTCTAGTGCATAATTTTGCCTTAGGCAGGACGAGGGCTTTTTCTTCTCATCTCTCCTCTTCTAGTGAATAATTATCTTGGGTCAAAATCAATTGTGGTATACGCAGATACAATGGCAGCGGCAGGGACTTCTCAGAGGGCACGGCGGGCAATGGAGGAGGAAGACGCAAAGCTGGTTTTCGAGACATCTAAAGGGGTGGAGCCAATAATGAGTTTCGACGAGATGGGTATCAAAGACGACCTCCTTAGAGGAATTTACAACTACGGCTTCGAAAAGCCCTCTGCCATCCAGCAGCGGGCCGTTCTCCCCATTATCTCCGGCCGCGATGTCATTGCCCAGGCCCAGTCTGGTACCGGTAAAACTTCCATGATTGCGCTTGCTGTCTGTCAGATTGCCGACACCAAGTCATCCGAGTAAGGTTTTGCTTTAATCATGAATTTAATTCAGGGAGAGTGGTGTATCGTGATTATTTGGTTCTCTGTGCATCTCGTGCTGTTGTAGGAATTGGATTTGCATGTGTTGATATAAAATAATTGAATATATTTTAATAAGGTCTGTATGAGAGAGTTGAAAAGTTTGTCTTTTTCGTTGACACTTAATTATGCTTTTTAGCAGGAGAGATTGTTTACTTTCGGTTTCAGGGTTGATATCAGGATTAATTGGGTTAACATAACATCCCTTGTATTTAGAAAACTTGCGCTATGCTTTTTATTTTTATAGAGAATGCATAAGATAACAATATTTGTTCTCTGCTTTTCGTCTGTTGGACCTCTTTGTGGAAAATGTGACAATACTGATAACCATCTCACTCGAATTAAGAATCCATCTTCCTAAACAAAATCCGTATAGGACTAAGCCACTGTTTGACAAAGCTTTTTGAGATTATAAGTTGGTTGGTCACATGAAATGTGTGTGGTTAAACAGTGGATAAAAGTTGTGGGTCCAGTGAAATGTATTGGTAAAACTGAAGTTTGACGATTTATAATGTCAAAAGGGGGCTAATTTAGCAATTGTTTGACTAAAAGGACACAAGTAGCCAATTCGTTTAGGATGACCTAAATTTATTTAAAATGTATTTTTAAGGTCTGTTATGAACTTTAAATAGGTGGGGAAAACAAAATATATAACGAGGAATTCACTTTTCTTTTTGTCTTGTTATAAGAGTTGGAAATTGTGGATCCTGTGAATTGATAATGGATTTTATGATCCCCTCCTACCCCATGCGCTGGGGTTGTGGAGTGGGGATTATGAAGCATTGAATCCTGATCTTGAATGTAAACTGGCTTGTCTAGTTACAGCTAGTTACATTGGTTATATCTTATTCTTTTTCCTTCTTCTTTATTTGTATTTGAACTCTAAGATGTACTCACACTCAATTAATGATAACTATGGTGGCAACTACAATATTTTCAATGTTTGCATCTATCATTGGTTCAAGCATTTTGTATAAATAGCTAAGCTAAGCAATTGATATACTTGGATTTATGCTTCTTTTTTCCAATTGAAATCAGGGTCCAAGCCTTGATATTGTCACCTACAAGGGAGCTGGCTGCTCAAACAGAGAAAGTAATCTTGGCCATTGGTGACTATATAAACATTCAGGCTCATGCATGCGTTGGAGGCAAAAGTGTGGGCGAGGATATTAGAAAACTGGAGCACGGAGTTCATGTAGTGTCAGGGACCCCAGGCAGAGTTTGCGACATGATCAAGAGGAGAACTTTGAGAACTAGATCCATCAAACTATTAATTCTTGTGAGTTGATATTTTATGTACTCATTATTGTTCAATATTTTAGGCCCCTTGTGAGATCACATTCTTAATTCTTAACTCATTAAAGCGTGTATGCTTCTTTTAATATTTTTCTTTTTGGGATGTTGTCAGGATGAATCTGATGAAATGTTGAGCCGTGGGTTCAAGGATCAGATCTATGATGTTTACAGATATCTTCCCCCTGAGCTTCAGGTAATTCCTGTCTTTGTATGTATGTTTGTGTCCCTCACATGCAATGTGTCAGCTTATATAACTACAAGATGATATGATGATCTTGTTTTTCTAATTTTTCCCTTCTGTTTATTTTTGTGCTTCTCGATTGAATGGAGAATTGAAGTTTATGTTTTCCATTTCGTTACTCCTGTCTCACCAAATTATGAATAATGAGCGTATAATATATATTTCAAATTGGCATACAAGATGAACTTGAAATCAAGTTTGCATGCAGGTTGACATGGGCATCAATTGATGATGAGGTCACATGACATACCATACTTCCAAAACTTAGGATACGAGGGACGTACTAATGAATAAATAAAAACATTATGCATGTGTATATATGTATATGCGTGTGAGCAACAAATCCTTGCATTTAGTTCCTCTCATGTATATCTGAAATTACTTTATTTTATATAGATTATAGCTCTTATATTTATTCCTGTCATATAAATAGAGCTTAAGATAGTAGTAAAGATTAATTTTCTTATCTTTAACGAAGATTCAAATAAGGCAAATTACCAGTTCAAATCTTTGCATGTGGCCTACGCATCATTTTATCATATTACAAGAGTATATATTTCACTTTCATGGAAAATCCTCATAAATAAAGTAGAGCGTTAAAAAGCTATGAATCTAGCTTAAAGACCCAAAAAAAATTTTGTATGATTATTTTAGCTAAGAAACTTGATAAAATGTTTAAAATTGAGTTCATAGAACATAGTTTTACTGGTTCTGAGTTGATTGGTTCATGACATCAATTTTTTAAAAATGCACAATTGGATACTGAGGCATTTTAGCTTTGTAAGGGACAAGCCAATAAAATAATTCAAAGGAAAATGAAAACACAAAATATGCTTATAATAAACCATGACCATCTTGAAAGTATGCAATAAAACAAATTAACAGAATTAAAAGTCTAATATGCAAGCAAATATAAAATAGATTAATAAAGCAGCAAATAAAAAGTCATCAGATTAGTAATTACATAATAAAATTTTGATCTAC